CGAAGGGGGTGTTTTGGACGGCGAGGAGTGCAGAATTTATTGGCCGTCTAGGTTGCAACACCAACTTGCAACTGGGGGAAATTTTGATTGACTGTTGTGCCTGGAACGCTTTGATCTGCAATCTCTGATGGGTGTGGATCGATGGATCAGTCATGCTGCCCGGCGACGCCAGCAAAAAGGTGCTCATGGAGCCATTAAATGGGATGTTAGAATCGGGATCCAGGATCCGGGATCATCTCTAGACTTTCTGTCAAAAATAGGTAATTATATAAAGTCTCATTTAGTTTACTATCAAAGCCGATAGAGAAAAAACGTTTCATTTAAGAATCTTAAAAATTTCATTAATATATTGTATATATGTGCATCACCTAAAAACTAACAAGCTTAAACTTTTATAAAACAATTTATTAGTTATGCAAAAGTTACTTATAATTACAATTTAAAATTAAACGCGAACGGCGATCTTTATCACATAATAAATCCATTAGCGCGAGAAGACAAATACCGAATTAATTTTCCTTCGTATTTTCACTTGCAAAAATATAAAAATAGAATTAAGGTTAATTGCATTCTTCGAAATTTTCTGTTATTTTCTGAACTAAAAATGTCTGAAAACGGCCATAAAATGGCTGAATAGACAACTCCGATCCTTTTCCCCTTCTGCATGAAGTTATCGCTTGACTGAGTTGATTATCTATGCTGATGCTTGGTTTATTTGGCTTATCAGGCTTTTTGGGCTTTGATGTCACTTCGGCTATATCATCATCATCAGTCGGATTCCAATTTTGATTCAGATCGATGCGATTTGGGGCGATGTTTATGCGTCAGCCGGGCTTCGAATGTTCTTTTTTATTTTTTTTTTGGCCATTTGATGCTGCCGCCGAAGTTGCCAACCAGTTGACGCGACATAAGAAAATAAATAAAATGGGGAATAACGAGAATTGCGAATAGTTTATTAGGCAGCCCCTCTTCCCCGATTTTTTCCCCTTTTTTTTGCGTACATTCAGCACTATCAAAGTGCGCGGGACCGTCTTCGTCTTAGGCCGAAAGTCAAATAATCAAATTCAGCCTTAAATCCGCATCAACCGTGCCAGCCAGAAATACTAAAATCCATTGTTTATTTTCTAATTTCGTTGGCGTGTAAATCACGGAAACGACTTCTTCCCAACAACTCGTTGGCATTCCTTTGGGAACAGCAGAAAAATTAAACACCCACCCCTCATTAACCGATTCGATCTGCTGGCTGGCCAGACATTTTGTCGACAATTTCCAGAGAAGTGGCCATAAATCAGTTGCAAAAGCTTTCCAATGGCTTTTCTGGAATTTCGTGTAATTATGCTGAGTGAAAACATTGGGGAAATGAAAATGCTGTAAGTGACTGCAATGAGGTTATATAATTGGGCTGTGGGGCATATTTTATTCCGTCTGTCTATGGACTATTTTCCATGAATTGAATCCGCCAGTCGCCCGGAATCATTCACACCCATCCTCGCCCACGCAAACGCCCTTCTCCAAATGCATGAATGAACAGAAACCATTCAGCGAATCGATCGTGGGGTTGGATTTTCCAATTCCAAATCCATTTCGTAACCCAAAACCCCCGGCCCCGAACAGACACACGTTAAACAATCGGACTGCAAGAGGTGTATTGTTTAAACAATTAACAATAACATAAATGCATGCATAATTACCGGCCGATATCGTGTGTAATTTCAAGAGCTTTCGACGGAAGCCCGCTCCACACGACAGCCGCCAGTGCGTCGTCACAAAATCTACGGACGGTAATCAGTGATGATCAAATTAAAATAAGGTAAAAATCAATTGATCAATACCTAATAAATTAAAACTTTAAAATTAGTTCTGTAACTTTTATAAAACGTCTTGTCAGCTGCTCTTTGATTTGAAGTCTTCGAAGAAGGAATGGGATCTTTAAACACTAAATACAATTATTAAAAGGGTTAAGGCTTAATAAAAAAAAATATATTGAATATACTGATAAAAAACAAAAAGAATATGAATCATTTTATTTTGAATAATATTAAAGAATAAGTAATAACGATCTCTATGGACGGCAGTACATGTTATGACAATGCGAACCAAGAGCGAATATTTTAGTAAAACGTTTATCCTTTCCTTTTTCGTCACACAATTTAATATCTGTTTTTTTTTACCTTGTTAAGAGGCGTTTTTGTTTAATTATAATTCTTAATAAATTAATACTAATTCTTTTCATTAAAGAATTACATCATTTTCTTTTATAATGTAATTTTTTTTTTCTAAATGTCGGTTGGTATAAATCGTCAATTGTATATGTTAATAAGTGAATTAAAAATTGGCAAATCTTCCTTTATAACAAAAACGTTATACTTTTATTATTTTCTTGTTTTTGATACTAAGAAAAGCTATGCTGGCACCACTAGCCCGCGCAAAATGGTAATACCGCAATGGTATTAGAATTGGGCAACAGGTGTACTTGGACCTCGATGTGGAGGTAGGAGGACCACTTGACCAGCTGAAAGCCTTAATGAGCTGCTCTCAAGTGGACCTCTAACATTGTCAAAAGGTCCCCGATGGAAAGGACCTAACTGGGGTGATCGCTTTTTTCCCACTGGCGCCAAGGTGTTTATCGTCGCCAGTGAGCTAAACAAACCGCAGCCAGCAGTGAAATTAAAAGGCGGAGGAGTGGGCGGATGGGCGCGGAGTGGAGTGCAGTGGAGTGGAGGAGGAGGAGGAGGAGGAGGAGTTGCCAAGAGGGCGAGGCGAGTTCATTGCGCCACGGGCGCACTGCAGATTTATCGCCCACGGAGGTGGTAAATGCCCCGACCAACGGAGATCTTGGGCTATAAAACAGACACCCGAACTGGACTGCCTAGCGCCAGCTCGTGCTGCGACTGCAGCCGTGTTCGGTCTCGAATACGGGTCCATTCCGGGCCACATCTAATCCGTAATCCCTCACACATGGCAGGTCGGGATGGGCCAACTGATTGCTGCAGAATCGCCCATTTCCAGAAGCGGGGGCGTGGCTGCCCGACACTAACCAAATAACTTCGCCCACAACCAGCTGGAGGTCGCATTCATGAAAAACCATAACAAGATCGGTTTGATATTGCCCCTGAAGCAAATATGACTTTCACAAGATACAAGATGGGTATAATAAACATCAATGGTCTCATTTATTCATTCATTACAAATGGAGAATTTATCAATTGTAATATTTTTTTTTATAACGCTTAAATACACATAAATTTAAACTAATTATTTGCCACTCTATTCTATTATAAATAAATCCCATATGATTTTAAAAATGTATTATTCATGAACAGGCAAGTATGGAAATACAGTAGTATCATTAACAGAAAAAATAAAATATAAATACCATAATATAATACAAATAAAAATACTCCGATTCCCAATCGATCATCGTCAAGGGCATGTTTTGGGATCCATGTTTACGGAAGCCTGCCCAATCCATTGTAAATATATCGTAATAATAATCGCAAGTGGGAGAGAGCCGGCGATAAACTTGGGCAAAGCAACTCATTTAGAAATGGATTGGCAGATAAATCTTTCCGCCGCAGAATGCAGTTTACATGGAAACCATATGGTGGAGTCCCAAGGAGGTGCTAATTTATGGTTACGACAGCTTTTTGGCGTTCCAATGTCTGGCCAGGCCAATGCAATGGTAAACAATTGCCGGCGGAGTGGCTGCAATTGGGATTGTGATTGGGAGTGGAAGTGGGGCTGTAGCTGTGGCTGGAACGGATGGAGAGGCCCTCGCAAAAATGCCAAAACCACCTAGAGATCGGTAAAATTTCAGCATCGGCCACTCATGGCCAATTCTTCATCACTCATTCGGCATATATATTTATTGGCTTGTTTGTGTAACCCAGATTATAAAAACAGAAGCCTAATCGTTCATCATTTGGCGTTGCTATCTGGCAACTTGGCCAGTTTCAGATCGATTGTTATTAATTTGTTTGCAAACATATTTCATGCGCTTTGCCCAATTTCATTCAGCGGGGTCTCTCCGAATCCCCGAATCCCAGAGATACGCCGGCCAGCAGATGTATCTGTATCTGCGTTTTCTGTTGCACTCATGCTGCGCGTCGAAAAGTCTACGATTTCCGTTCCTCGTATAAATCAACTGGGGAAAAAAAATCCGAAACTCAGAAAAACGCCAGAGCAACAACAAATTTTTTCTTCATTTTTATCTCTTTGGGGAAAATTGTGGCTGCCTCCAGTATTTATTTGTGCATAATAAGTTTTTTGAATGCTGCCAGGGGAGGTGCGAGAAAGGGCTGCAGTGGGATAGCTACTAAAAAGTTCGTTACGGAACTAGACATTTTCAGGGAACTTCGTTAAAACACAATCTTTTGGGGGAGGTGGTCTGAAGAAAATTCCTTTCGAGCGACGCCTCTGCTCGTTTGGGTTTGGTATTGTTGCCCGTCTGTGGATATCAAAATACCATACAAATCGTCAGCTCGTCATTTTTCAGACAGTTTTCTCTTCGATTTATTATTGGGTTTACGCGTGTGTGAGGAAGTAACACGCAAACAGTGCTTTAAGTTCGTATGCAGACAGCACGCGATGCCTAAAAAATGAATTAAGTTGTTTCAAGGGAAATGGTTTTCTCAGCATATTTTTTTCTGATTTTTGAAATTTTTTTTTTTTTAAATTAATTTGTCAAAGGAGTAACTAAGTGTTTGGTGTAAAAACTTTAGACGTTTACTCTAGTATATCCTTACATGCTTCATTAAACAAAGGAATTCCCTAAATTAAACTATTTATTTTAACATGGTTTTACTGAAACAATAACGAATTCAATATTCCAGGAAACCCTATAATTTTTTTTAAATATAGTTTGAGACCGTATTCCGTATCTGTTAATTATTATTATTATAGAACTCTATTATTGTTATTATAGACTCTAACAGGGTCAAATAAAACATAGACTTTAACAATTTCTTGAACTTGTTTAATAATAAATAAATAAATTGAACAGAAACTAAGCTGGAACACAGGAACACAAGCTTATAGGAACGCGTCACACCATTTTAGAAGGCAGTGCCAGCATTCTTGCGCTTGACGGGCATTCGCTTGGCATATTTCAAACATCCAATCGCAGAAGTATTCTTTGTCCATGTCGAAGAGAAGGAACTGCCCCAGGACACTGCTGGCCCTTCCGAAACCGGCATCGGTCAGTTTGTAGCCCAATGTTACGCCGATTCCTGGCAGCTCGGTCACGGGTTTGTCGCGAATTGGTTCGGTGATAAAGTTAATCAGTTTCTGGGAATTCGATATTATAAGTTAGCTGAGCTTTAAAATTATATTTTTGCCTTCTTACTACGTTCCGAGTAGGCATGTCAGCTTTTTTAGAAAATATATTGATGAAAGGTGAAAAACGACTGGAGATTAGCAACTCCGACTTCTATCGTTCAATTTTCCTGAACAATATTTAAACTATCGATTAAACATGTGATGAATGGTTTGTCAACACTTTTTTAGAGCCAATACCATATTAATTTTTATATTTATGGTTGAAAAATGGGCTTACTAGCTTAACCAAAACACTTTGACTTATTGTTGATTTTATTTTTAAAATTGTTTGTAGCAATCACTTGCTAACAAACAAAATAAATAACTATAATAATCAATTAATGCATTCTACGATTGAAAAACTAGTGAGATAATTAATTATTAATTTATTAATTATTCATACATTCATGCCTACAAACCGTATTCCTTAGTCTTAGCTTGGAAAACCAACTTTCGGCAGGCACTGTGCCGTCTTGGCCAACCTGCTTCCCCGATCCCAAATTTTCAGAGACTTGGGGGCGCGCATGTGGGGATTGCTTATTTATGTACATAGTTGTTGGGTGCGTGGTGTACGTGTGTTTGAGAAGCAATTCATTAATGAATTTTAAAATGTTGCTAATCGATCGTTTGCGCCACAATTAATGTCAGCCCGTGGCAATTGGAATGTGTTATGTGAAATTTCATCGGCGGCAACTTGATTCATTCGACCGGGGAAATAAAATAAAAGAGTGGACCGCCCGGCGTGGCTCTCTTTGACCTCTTGACGGGCCTGCAAAAGGGCAAACAAAAAAATAGGATAAACCAGGGATGAAGTTCTCAACATTTTGACCACAATGCAAATTGAGCTAAAGTAGAGCACATCCAGATATTCTGTTTTCTTTGTTCCATATTCGATTCTATTCTTTTGGCTTCAGGCGCATTTCTTTTATATTTCTTTTTTTTTTTTGCCTTTGGGATGTGAAACACTTGGTGCCGCGCTGTCTGCACGAGCGGCTCTGGCAATTATAACAACAGAAATTAGAGCAACAACAATGGGCAGCGGCCGCAATAATTGTAGCAACAACAAACACGGACCACCACTGCATATTTCTTATGAATAGAAAAGAGCCCACCACCAGATGCAAAATGGATAAAATCACAATTAAAGAAAAAAAAGGATATCCACGCAAAACAAAAAATAAAGAAAAATGCAGTAAAGATCAGTGGTATATATTTAAAAACAACTGATCTAATTAAAATAAAAATTAAAATCGCTCTTAGACAAATGTTTTAAAGCACTATCATATATTTTAATAAAGACCTTAGTTTCATATATATTTTAAAAATATTCCAAGTTGAGATCCAACAAAGATGTATATATACATATTTGTTTAAGTGCATGCCGATTTTGGTCTGAGCTTGTGGCCTGTTTGCTGTTTCTCCACGCCTAGCGGGAAAAGTGTTGAGAAAATTAATAAAACAAATGCCAAAGTCAGTGGCAGACACAACGACGGCGATGTGAATTGTTGTAATTTTTAACCAGTTTGCTGAGCAAATATTTTATCAACATATTTTCAGAGACAACACGCAAATGTTTGTCTTGAAAATATTTAAATATTTACATTGGGAAAACAACTGCAGCGAGGCGAGTGAGGAGAACGAGTCTACCACGACGAAGACGTTGACAAATATAAAGACACTGGGCCTGCGAGGTTTGTGGGCGGTACCAGGGGGTGGTTTTCTCTCAAGGGGCTGGGAATCCCCATTGTGGGCGTGTTTTTGTCAAGAATCTAAAAGCTTAAGGTTTAATTTAAATAGAGAGTTGTATGTACAATACTTATTAGCTTGCTTGTTTGACAAATGATAATGGCTTATACTTCGCAAAAGGATGAATTAAATATTTTAAATTTTAAGATAAACTAAGAAAATACTTAAACTTTTTTTAACCTTAGCTTAACACTACATTTTTTTGATTGAAATTTCAGTTTACTCAATACTTCCTTAATTCATTACTATTACGTACCTACAAAAATCCAATGTCAGCATAAAAATGTTGTAAAATGTACAGCCAGCTAGTTATTAATATTTTAAATCTTTTATGTATTTTACGATTAATGGCATAGATCACTAGATGTTTGTATTATTGCATCCTTATCCTTAAATCTTCCAGCCCATCTTTAAAGTTAAATTTAATAATTTTAACCCATTATTTGTGCACTGGAATCCATCAAATCATTCATCAAATTATTTAGGTAATTAAATGTTTTAGTTTCAGCAATAATTGATAAGTATCCGACAAATGGTAGCTACTTGAGCTAGATACTTATCTGCATCCACAAGTAGCCATCAACGAGATTATTAAAAACGTATCTGACAGATACTGGCACTCGCATTGGCAGCACAGCCATTAATTATGCAGCTGATAAGCAATGAAAACACATTGGAAAATCAACAAGAGTGGATGTATCTGTGACTCTATTTGAATTTGTATCTGTATCTGCAACCGCAGATTAACACAATTAGTTGAGCGATGCACGGGCAGCTGGGAAGTTGGGAAGTTGGGAAGTTGGGAAGCTGGGAAACGTGTCGTCAATGGCGCGCGGCTAAGCAAACAACGCCTAAAAAAGAAGCTGTGGTAAAAAGACGAGCGTAAAGATGCAGTCAAGGCTGATTGGTGGGGGAGTAGGGGTTTTAGGGGAAGTCAAAGTCCCCCCAAGGCAAGCACATGTCAACAGTTCCGAAGATTTCGCAGTCAATTTGACGAGTTACGCCCATGAAAGTGATTATTGTGCGCGAGTTTATGCCCATGTACCCTGCTCTCCGGCCGAGGCATATTAATTGGTAGGCCATTTTGCGGCCCGGCTAGGGTTTTAACAAGGTACGCAGACGTATAACCCTCGACCGCCCTGCAATGAGCAATTTCCTGCTGCCTACACTCACCGCCGCCGAGCCAAGACAATTTGTCCTAAATAAACATTTCATCTCTCTTGAACTGCCACAGCAACCACAGCACGGCAGCAACAGCAACCACAGCAGCAACATCGCCAGCGACAGCAGCAACATTTTATGAAAGTGGCGGCCAACGAGACGGCTGCACGGAGAAAAAACTAGGACTGCACTTTCTGTCGTCAATGTTAAATGTTTACTACATTTGTGATTAATTGAACAATCGAAAATTTGAAACATTTTACTAAAAAATTAATGACAAACTTAGCATTTTTAGAAACACATATATTCGAATACATATTTATTTTAATTACAAATTGTAATATGCATTTTTGTAAATTTGTTAAAATAAGACCAGAGAATTAAAAAAGAAAAGTGGTTTTAAAAAATCGTATGTTTTTTAGCTGTTTTTATTACTATCTATACCATTTCATCACCCTTTTTCATCATTTCCCACATTAATGAATATATTCATTTATAATCAAGGCTATACATATAGACTTACTTTGCACTGGGTTCCAAAGTGAAGAGTTTTCTGTGAGGCTTAGAGGTTTTTGATATATTTGTTCATGCGTCAAAGCAATTTGCTATTAATGAAGTATCTAAAGTTGAACTCTTTTCTTTGCGTGTACCACTGCTGATGGCATTGGTGATGGGTCGAGTAAATTGTCTGCCTGAAATATACCACCGTTTAAAGGCAGACGCAGAGCACTCTCCCTGCGAGTCCCTTTGCGCACTTCCGCAGCAGCTATGTCGCTATATCTCTTCCCCTAAAGCGATGTGGCCATATAGCTATAGCCACTTCCCTTGCAAGTCCTGCTGCCCCCGATTCCCTGTCCCTTTGCCCGATCCAGTCGAGCGTCGCTCATTCGCCCGTCGCTATATGCTAAATAAACATTTGGGCACGTCATGGCTTATTGAATTGTCACTTATGCCCGAATTCGAATTTCGAGTTTCAGTTTTTGTTGCCATTGCGCTGCCTTCCCTTTGGAATTATCCGCATCCATCCACTCCTGGCTGCGTTTTGTCGCCTTTTCAATTGGCATTCGTAATGGCGACTATCTGCCTCGTTGCCTCGTTTATGTCCATTCCATTCCCATTCCCATTCCCAATTCATCCTCTTGCGACTCCTTCGGCGGCTGTGGCCACTAAAGTGCTTCCATTTAATTAGTTTTACTCCCTGGAAATTCAATTTCAGCAGTATGCCGCCTTAAATGCATTCGGAAAGAGCTGAGAGCCGTTTCAAATAATCAATAATCGATTTATGGTGTTTACTCTTCGACAGAGGCAAGGGGATCTGAAATATAGGATGATATGTGAGTTTATGTGAAAAAAACTAAAATACATAAGAAAAAGACTACAATGAAAGCTAATGAAAAAAAAATGATTCTAAAAATCCCATATAAATTAATTCAAACTTTAACTTAACTAAAACTAAATCATCTTTATATTCCTTATAATAAAACAATCATTAATCGAAGTAGAAAAATTACAAATTAAAGTCAAAAACTGCAAAACATGATGGCATGTTTATAAAAAATTTTGAACGGTCTTTGAACGGTCTTCATTTGTATAAATAAAACCAGACTTAAGAACTTACATTCTAAGCTAATCATACAAGGCGCCCAAGTCCATATTTTCCTATTAAATTAGCAGCCAAAGCCACTAAAATAGTTAAATCCATCTATCCAAACATTTTCATTTCATAAAAGTTAATTAACCTGAGAGCCATGCACACACTCGCCGCCAACATATTTATCCAAATGATTCCATTGACTATTTAATTGAAATATTACACAAATCTATGCATCATAAAATTTTAGAACAAATCATTCAATAACAAACAAAAATTGGCAATCAGAGCCAAATGGAAATGGAAATTGAAATTGAAATGTTTCAGGCTTCATTAAAAAATATGCCAGTGCATGTGCGCGTTGTGTGCACAATTTATCCGCCGGATACATTTCAAATAAATAACAACAATAGACACACGGACGGACGGTGCGAAAACAATAATACAAAATTGCTAAATTACAATCGAAATTACAATTTCCAATTTCATTTTCATGACTTCCGTTTAATAACAAATAAATCGCATAATCCCTAGCATAATATTTTCACAATTAAAATTTCAAATAAATTTTTAGCCAAAGCAGACAAAAATCAAAGCAATTACAAAACTCA